ATCACGGAAAGATATTCGCCCTTCAAGGTTTCGAATTCAGCTTTCATGCGCTGGTGCGTGAAATTTCTAAATATTTTTCAGTGTTTCAACAATTTTTGCATAGCCTAAAGTACAACACAGAATCGTTCGATGGGTTGAATTGCACAAAACGCATGATCGCACCGGCTAGTCTGGTGTGCGTTGCTATTTATTTTCCTATATTTTTTTCCCCCAGTACGTGCACTATTTGTTGAGTGAACTTCTGTCGGCAGCTTTCTTGCAGCTCTGCAGTGCCTTTTCGCTGCTCGCTGCTGGGGGGCAGTGGCTCTCTCACTTTTGCGTTCTCTTTTTGCGGTGTTTCGCTGGCAGCAGGGGCGGTGATATTTTGCATCCATTTTGGAGCAGTTGGTAAGCAAGCAAAAAAAGAAAAAAAGAAGCAGCTTGTTGTGTTATTTGCAGGTACAAACGTTGAAAAGTCAGGATGCAATGGCACAAGCGATGAAAGGTGTGACGCGCGCTATGCAAAGCATGAATCGTCAACTGAACTTACCGCAAATTCAAAAGATAATGATGGAATTCGAGAGGCAGTCCGAGATTATGGATATGAAGGAAGAAATGATGGGCGAAGCAGTGGACGACGCGATCGCCGACGAAGCTGACGAAGAGGAAACGGAAGCGATCGTCGCGCAGGTATTGCCACAGCTTCACTTTTGCTCTTCCGTCCCGTTGTCTTGCTACACTCCGCTAAAGCTGCTACGGCTCACTAGCTCTTCCGGCTGCACTACCCCTCTTTTGCCTTCGTTGTACTTCGAAACGAAACTGCTAAATGCATCGTACACTGTCTGCCTCATGCCCCCTCTATTATTTGCACCTCCCAGAGATGCGCGCTGTTGAATTTCTGTCAGCGGTACGATGATGACACTGCAAAAGATAATTCTGAGAATTCAGTCTGGGACAAAACTCCGTTCGTTCGCTTCTGATTTTCGAGGAACGGGAAAAAAAAAAGCTTCGTCTTTGAACTCGGTGGCAGCTAGTACATTCTCACAGCCAGTGTGTTACTTCATCCGCTGCATTAAACAGCCGCTGTTTCATCGTAACGCGTCTTCATAATATGGATGTTGTTGCTGCGACTGAAGCTACACACAGTGCATTTATCAGGAACTGCTAGACATTCGTCCCGGCCCTCCATTTTTCTGATGGGGAATGTTAGATGTGGTATTTCGACTTTTTTATACACTTATAAATGCATTGTGTGATTTTATTTCAGGTTTTGGATGAATTAGGAATACAGATGAATGAAGAGCTGTCTGCAATCCCTGCGGCACAAGGCACTTTAGCACCTGCCGAGAAAAAACCGCAAGCACAGCCAGCGCTATCTGATGCGGATGCCGATCTACAAGCCAGGTTAGAAAATCTGCGCCGCGAATAACATTTGTGGATTCAGGCTCAGAGCATGTATTTCAGTACTGTTTATCACAGCCCTGTGAAAAAGGCTTGAAAAAGCTGTGCACTGCCAGACCCGCGATTTATGAAAATCCCGGAGCATAGTACTTACTCGGCACGATTCCAGTCACCAAATTATGACCGCGTATTGGTAGCTTCCTTTCATTACCTTGATCTTCTGTAATCTGCTCACCCTCTAGCTCGGTCTTGAGAGCTGGTGTCGGCACAGTGCTATGGTTTAGGCTGCTGCTGTTTACGGGCGAGCTTTGACCTTGGCACCTTCTCGGAATGGACTGGCACTATTTAAAATCTTTTTTTTCGAATTTGTACTTAAAATTCTTTTTGCTGCGAATCAACATTTTTACGCCCTTCTAAATTTGACGAAGTTGTTAAAAAAACTTTGCGGAATGTTTAATTCACTTTTTTATAAAGCAGAAAGATATCAGGCAGTGTATGTATTTGAGATTTGTTGAGAATTCGTCAGTTCCGATGATTTGTAAGCAATGTTTTTAATCGCCTCGCATTGACCAGTGAATGGTGTATTTTTGATTTTCGAAAGACAAAAGCGTCACACACGTGGCTTTCTTCCATAATTGGCGCAGAAGCCGCTAATGTTTTGTTGTGTAAGTCCGCAATTCCACGAATGTATGCCTCGTTTTTTATGTTTTTGTATGCTCTTATAAAGCCTAATAAACTTTCCACAGACATATCCAAGTTCCTCAACAAGAAAGAACATTCCGCAGGCACTTTTCTTTTGCGAATCAAACATTTCTACCGTAAAATGCACATATCCCAATGAGAAGATGACTACGCTTTTTGCATAGGCTAGCATCATTTTCACTGTCAATCCAGCTTGGCACTTCCCAGTTGACGTTCGCGTTCATAAATGTCCATTCATTTTGTGGCTCAGCTCTCCACGTATTTCTAGTGCAAACGATTCTTGTTTTTGCCCTCCGCTTCCGTCACCGCGCGCCCCCTCCCCATCGTTTTTTCGGAAGGGCCACTGTGGTTAATGCGTAAGTGGGCAATTATCATTCAAATACGATTAATAATCATTCAGATTTAAAAATCCAGCATATATAAAACGTTTGTTTCTTCTGTTGATCATTTTGTCGCACTAACTCTCTTTTTTCTGCACTTGAAATGCCTGACGGCCTCCATCTTCTTGCAGTTTGCGTGGTAAATCACGACATATAACAGATATACGTCGAGTACGTGGCACTAATGTTCCCGCAAACGATGATTCGGTTTTGCCCAGCACCTCGTGGTAGAATTCATAACGGCTAAATCCGCTGAAATTATCTTAATCTGTCGGTGTTACAGACACACATATCTATCGAACTCCAAAGTTTCAGTAATTGCAAAAAGATGCACATTAAAATTATCCATAGTTTAAAACGCATACTGTCACGGCGTTGTCTTTGTGTATTTGTGGGTGTGTGTCCGCAGCAACTTGTCCGCGACTTTCAGCTAGAGAACCGTAATAGCTTGGAAGGTAAAAATGTAAAGGGATGTTACCCACCCACGTGCGATCCCGCAAATTTAAATTCAGCTTTCCCATACCCGCGGGTAACACGTATGGCCCCGTAAAAAGTTTTGACGAGGAAATTATTATCTCGGGAACCACGGAAGTTGGAAATCTGAAATTTTAGGGCAATGTTCCCTATCAACTTGCGACCCTCGCAAATTCAGATTCAGCCTTCACGCACCCTTGGGTATCATGTACGGTCCCGTGAAAGTTTTGGTAGGAAAATTATTATTTCGTGGACTGCTAAAACTAGAAGGCTGAAATTTTAGCGTGGCATCCCCTGCTCACGTAAAACTCTGCTAATTTTCAACGTCTCCGCAGAAGTTTTAGCGAGAAAAGTCATTAACTTAGGAGCTAGAACAGTTAGGGAGCTAAAAATTCAAGAATATGTTCCCTGCCTAAGCAGGGGCTTAACAAACTCGAATTCAGTTTGTAAGTATGTCGAGGTCTCAAGTACGACCATGTGAAAGTTTTGTCTCAAAGAGCAAAAGCCAGAAAATTAGGAGATTGAAATTTTGGAAAGATACTTATCCTTCCAGATTTAAAATTCCGCTTCCACGTGCCGATGCACGAAATTTTTAATTATTTTTCAACATTTAAACTATTTTGCACAGAACAAGGTGCGGAGCAGTGAAAATCATTAAGAGGCAATCGTTCGATGGACAGAATCGCGCAAAACGCATTACCGCACCGGCTATTCTGGTGCGCGCTGCTATTTGTTTCCTTTGTTTCGATCTCTAAACAGCCACAGAAAATAGAAAAGTAGAAAAGGCTAAATACTGAACGAGTTTTCAGAATTTCGGGACATTGGAATTCTTAATTCGCAACTAAAGAAATAACTAACCACATCTTGTAGAGACTTCGGCGCTGCACGAAGAGATCCAGAATGAGCTTGTCTTTTTGGCTTTTGTGTCGAAGGCGCATCACTGCATCAGATAACAACGAAAGACCAGTGATCACATTACCGCAGTACTGAATGGAAATAAGATGAGAGCAAAAAGAAATGTCGGGGAGAAACTTCTGGGGGAGGCGGAACGTGCTCTGCGAATAAAAACACATCCGACGAGCAGTGATCCAAACCTATGTGCCGAGCAGGGGCAGTGTGAATGCTAAGCAACGCTCACACATACCCGAACACTGTCGATGTGAGGCTTGATGAAGCCATCTTCATGCAGATCAAGGACATGTACAAATGAAAGCTGCTCATCGTCCGGTCCGAAGGAGTGCTTTCGAACTCGATCCAGAATGGCCTCATTTTCCTTCCTCCACTGCAGCTGCTCCCGTTCGCGATATAAGTGGATCGCCTGGAAATTTAAAACTACGCATGATGATACTAAACGCATTCATTTTTAGCGCTTTTAAAAAACGATGCTCACATACTATGCGCGTAAGGCAATTTTAAAGGCAAACGCCCAACAAAAAAAAAAAGGCGCGTGTTGAAATTATAAAAGTTTTGAAAGAATCTGGGAATGAAGTAAAATTTGAGCAATTTTGGAGATTCAGTCCTGACTGAATTTAAAAATAAATCGTCAGCTAATCGAGACAGCACAGATGTCCTCTAAACTGAGACGGAAACAGATCCTATATCGCTCAAGGTTTTCACGGCCGTTCATGAGATCGTAATTCGGAAGCTAATTTGGAAAGAGAGCAAAACATCAATGACAAAAATACCACTCATGCAATGTAGATGACACAGTTCTCATCGCAAACACCGCTAGTGAAATGAGTGGGAAGTTGCAAGCGCTTGACGTACGAGGTGAGCCAGAAAACGAAGGTGATGCAAAGTGGCCAGATTCAGGTTAGGTGATGCTAATTTTGAAGAAGTCGACAGTTGCACCTTATGTTGGCCAGAAAAAGACATGCATCATAATCTTCAAATGCTGCTACACAGAGAAATGCAGCGGTTGGCGCAAATTTCGCAGCATCACCAGTGTCCTCAAAATGTGGAACCGAAAGGACTGTGTCTACTCGTGAAGAAGCTGATCACCGACGAAAACAGAAGGGCGAAGGATTTTCTGTGACCACGGGGCAATCACATTCCCCATCATTTCAGCGGCGTGCACAGTGGTACTGCGACAAGTGAGGAAATAAAACCCGATGATTAGGACATGTTGCTGGCCTTGCTGACGACCGGTGAACGTGGCATATCTGTTAGATGGTATCAGCCAACAAAGGCTGGAACGCACCAGGCGAGCCGGTGCGATCATGCGTTTTTGCATCAAAACTAAAG